GGTTAACTTTTGTAAAGTTAAATTTTTTAAACTTAAAATGGATTTGTTTTAATGGCCTTTTTTAAGAAATAGGCTTATGGCCTAAAGCCATTACCTTATTAGAGATAAAACTAATAGTAAATAAATTAATATATATATATATATATATATATATATATATAAGTTATTTAAAATTATTCATAAACCTAGTGAAATCTCACAAGTAGGGTATGGGGAGGGTAGTGTGTACGCAGACCTTACCTCTATCTTATGAAGGTAAAGAGGTTGTTTCCGAAAGACCCTCGGCTCAAGAACATTAAATATGAAGCAACAGAGAAACAATAGCATCAAGGTAATGAGACAATGGAAGCAAATAATACGAGTAATGACAGAGATCCAGGGATACGAAACTACAAGAATAGAGCCAATCCTACTGCTAATAATGACTCACCGTTTAAAAACAAGGGACTAGGAATAGAAAAAAACCCGACTAGTACTACTACTGGTAAGACAAGGCGAAACTTAGACTATCTATCAACACACCATCCTAATTCTCGACCTCTACACCTTTCTATCGAGGGTTATGTCCTCGGTAAGCTAGAGCAGAGCCATGTCCTGCCTAATCATCTCAACCCAGTTCTTCTTAGGCCTCCCTCTACCCTCCTCTGACTCGCCATGGGCAACCTCTCGTACCTTCTAACGGGAGCATCAGAGTCTCTACTCTTCACATGACCGAACCATCTCAACCTCGATTCCCGCAACTTATCTTCCACACGAGCTACACCCACTTTATCCGTATATATTCATTCCTAATCTTGTCTTTTTTGGTATGCCCACACATCCATCTCAACATCCTCATTTCTGCTACTTTCATCTTTTGGACATGAGATTTCTTGACTGGCCAACACTCGGCTCCATACAACATGGCCGGTCTAACTACTGTTTTGTAGAACTTGCCCTTAAGTCTAGGTGGCACATTCCTGTCACACAAAACACCAGAAGCAAGACTCCACTTCAACCACCCGCACCTATACGATGTGCGACATCCTCGTCGATCTCCCCGTTACTCTGTATTATAGACCCAAGATCCATCTCTCTTGGGGATGAATTGTATATCAAGCTTCACATCCACTTCTACTTCATGCGTCCCAACACTGAACTTACACTCCAAGTATTCTGTTTTTGTCCTGCTCAACTTGAAACCTTTAGATTCCAGTATATATATATATATATATATATATACATACATATATATATAATTATAAAAATTTGTGTATTAAATTTGTTGGTTTGGTCCGGAAAAAAGAAAAAAAAAATGTTATAGGTTTTTTTAAATGTAAAACCAAACACATGTTACCTTCTCAAAAAAAAAATGTAAAACCAAACCAAACCCAAAAAGAACAATCAGTTTGGTTCGGTTTCGTGAACACTCCTAGCAATATCTATATCCAATAGCCGCAGTAAGTTACTCTAATCACACAACGTTAACAGGCAAACTAGCATATCCTCCCAAACAGCATTCAGATAATCCTACTTCATTCAACGTACCACTTTGCCCATAATGTCTCAAAATACTGTAAAGAGTCAACAGTAGAAGGTTTTTGGGCCATACCTAAATATTTTTACTGGTACATAGCGAAGCCAGTATCATATCTCCAAGTAAAGATGTCCACTTCCATCAACTGATAGTTCGCTATATAGGAGGGTTGAGTAGCCTTTAAGTTTTCAAGCCAGCAAGTGGCTGTGCTTTGGTTTTTCCCCTAATGCTGCTGTAATGCTTTTATGTACTCTTTTACTCAATTAACCAACATCTTTTTAAATCTAATATATTGAATTTTCTGCAGTAAGCGAGGATTTACATAGCCTTTTAACTCCAACTCATTAGGGACTGAGGCATAACATTTGTAGTATATCGAATTTTCTGCTAAACCCAACCACGGCTCAAAAGTATCATATTTGCATCTATATAAGTTTTTCGCAAGTGCAAGTGATTGCAACCGAGGAGAGGAGTAGACAGAAGCGTAATCTCAACTGAGGTTGGTTTGCCTCGTGATTCACTTTCCACCAAGCAAAAGCAGTCCCCATGAAACATGCTTTACATTGTCTTGGACACTCCTATTGAACCTGTCTCTCAAAAGTTTGGGTAGGTTATGATCTCTTTTAAGCACTTCCCACAAGGTCAACAAATTTCGAGAAGTATTAAATTTAGCTACAAGCATAGAGAAAATCCAGGCACATATATTGCAGATAATTGCAGTCAAAGCAAATTATCAGTAAGACATTTAAGAG